CGGCTCTAAGTGTATGTTTGACATGGTGAGAAGCTGCTAAACTTTTTTCTGAAGTGGCTACACCACCTTATTGTTTCCTTAGCTTCTAGTTCTATATCCTCACCAGAACTTGATGTTTAAAATTTTTCAAATGGCAAGTATTCAAATATGTATATAGTAGTATCTCATTGTGTTGTTGTTTTATGTATGCATTTATTTATTTGAGATAGTCTCCCTCTGTCACTCTGGGTAGAGTGCTCACACCAGGAAACCAAAAATTTTGTGACACTTTATTGTGGCATTCACTTAATTGCGGTGATCTGAAACTAAACCCATAATCTCTGTGATCTGTGTCCTGAGCCGTTTGTTCCATTGAATCATCTTTGCACCTTTTTCAGAACTTAGTCAGCTATATCTTCACACATCTGTTTCTAGATTGTTTTCCCTTTTTTATATAGTGGATTCAACTTGCCCAATTCTTTGTTGAGGACTTTTGTGCTCATGGTATGGTTATTTGTCTATAGTTTCTTTGTGTGGTTTTGGTACCAGGGTGATGCTGTCCTCAGAATGAGTTGTAGTGCTCTTTCTCTTGGATTTTCTGAAAGATACTATGTAGAATCAGTGTTGTTTCTTTCTTCCTTAAATGTTTGGTAAATTCACTAGTGAAGCCTCTGCTTACTAACAGAACAGCCAACAGCCATCAGCTTTTCCCTCTGATGCTTTTTTTTGAGACAGAGTCTCACTTTGTCACTCTTGGTAGAGTGCCATGGCATCATAGGACACAGCAAGCTCCAACTCCTGGGCTTAAGCAGTTCTCTTGCCTCACCCTCCTGAGTAGCTGGGAGTATAGGCACCTGCCATAACACCTGGCTATTTTTAGGGACAAGGTCTCACTCTGGCTCAGGCTGGTCTCAAACCTGTGGTTTTAGGCAATCCACCTGCCTTGGCCTCCAGGTGCTGAGATTATAGGCGTGAGCCACCACACCTGGCTCCTTTGATGCTTCTAAAAAGGTTAAGGAAGGGATGAAATTATGTGGCTTGGGCAGCACCTGTGGCTCAAAAGGGTAGGGCACTGGCCCTATATGCCGGAGGTAGCGGGTTCAAACCCAGCCCCGGCCCCCAAAAAAAAAAATTATGTGGCTTAAGGTAGTGGGCTGAGGGATTTCTGGCCCAGGCAGCAGCAGGGAGGCCCTGGATACTTTGTCCTGATGTGGGCTATGATCTCTGCAGGTGCTGTCCCTGGACACAAACATCACAAACCAGGTGAACAAGCTCAACCGGGACCTTTTGCGCCTGGTAGATGTCGGCGAGTTCTCCGAGGAGGCCAAGTTCAGAGACCCCTGCCGCTCCTATGTGCTCCCGGAGGTCATCTGCCACAGTTGTAATTTCTGCCGAGACCTGGACCTATGCAAGGACTCCTCCTTCTCTCAGGTGGGGCTCAGCTCCCAGGAGCCCTCACACTGATAGAGCCAGAACATCCCAGATGGGGCTTCTGCTACCCCATCTTGCAAGTTGCATCTGTTTCCCTTGGGCTCTTATGTGGACTCTGAGCAGGCACCCTCAGGCCAATCTCCCAGGTGTGGCCCAGGTCCAGGTGCAGGTGTAGGCAGAGGCCAGGGTAAGGCTCTCAGAGGCAATTCATTCCCTTAGCTCAGATCATGCCTCCAGCCCCTTTCCTCCTGTGGCTGTTACTGACAGTGCTGAGATTGGAGCCATGGCCATGTGACCTCTCCTCCTACTTTGCCAGGATGGAGCCATCTTGCCTCAGTGGCTCTGCTCCAATTGTCAGGCGGCCTATGATTTGTCCACCATCGAGATGGCCCTGGTAGAAGCCCTGCAGAAGAAGCTGATGGCCTTCACCCTGCAGGACCTGGTAAGTCACAGGGCCTATGCCCCCAAACTGTTCCCTGGAAGCAAGGGTGTTTCCACACACATCATCTGCACTCCTGGGACACAGGGTATGCGTAGATCCTGGGTCCTGCCCAGTATTCTCTAGGGAACCGCCTCCAAGGACTGATTCCCACCACAAGCCCAGCATCTGTTGGGAACCTGCCATGGTCTGGGAGTAGGCTCTGTGAGTGTCTGCCCTAGAGGAGGGAGAAAGGCAGTCATCATGACAAATGTCTGGAGAACTAAAAGGAGAAAGGAGGCATCACCACCAGTACTCAAGAGTGCTGCAGGAAGGTCTTGCTGAGGGATGTCTGAGCAGAGGCTTGGGGGGCATGCCAGGATTCCATATTGCTATCACAGGACAGTGTCCACTGCCACAAGCACAGGGTCTGGAAAAAGGCCCAGCACCTTGGAATTAGGGCAGAGTGCCCATGCGAGGAGGGCATGTTGGCAGAGTTTGGGTGAAGTCATGAATTTTATTCATAACTGAGGCCCAACACGCACATAGTGGGAAACCAAGGCTTGCAGAAGTTTCCAAGGCCACATGGAGGGATAGGTAGGTCTGGCGATGTGAGTGAGCCAGCACCTGACAGGGCTACTCCCTTTTCAGATCTGCCTGAAGTGCCACGGTGTGAAGGAGACCAACATGCCTGTGCACTGCGGCTGTGCGGGGGCCTTCACCCCCACCATCCATACTCAGGTGCGCCCTCCCAGCAGGAACATCAGCCTCAGCACTGCCATGCCTCCCTGACCTCTGGGTGGGATAGGCTCTCACTGTGTGTTTACTTCTACAGGTCTTCATGGAGCAGATTGGGATCTTCCGGAACATCGCCCAGCTCTATGGCATGTCATACCTCCTGGAGACCCTGGATTGGCTGCTGCAGAAGAGTCCTCAGCTGGGCCAGTAGCCATCCCTGGGCTTATGGGACACCATCCAAGAAGCTATGTCCCTGTGCTCCCAGTGACCAGGTCACCAATCACCCTGACTCCCTGAACTCAGGACCATAGTACAGGGAAGATCATTTTGGGGACTCAGAAATGGCAGGAACAAGCAAGAGCAAGAAATAGCCTGTCCTGAGCCAATCCACCTGCTACAGCAAATCCCAAGCTGAGAAGCATGTTGAGGGTCCTGAGGGGTCATTTCTTGCTAAATAAACACGTTTCCAGGTGTCTGTTGCTTTCTTATGCTGCCAGATGGGGTGGGAAAGTTCTCCCCAAGGGTCTCAGTTCCCTGTCCTGACCCTGAGGCTCCCAAGGGGCTCCTGGGTCTGTCTGAGGCCAGGCTCCAAGGTGAGATGGGTTCCTGCAGCCATGGCCATTTCCAGGGAACTCTGGGACCTGTGGGGATTGGGCTTGTGCCTCCCTTGTCTTTGCACCCTTCTCACTTAGAGCAAGTTGCAGAGGGAGTGCCTGTGCCATGCTACTCAGGACCCATCCTCAGTTCCAGAAAACCAAACCCCTGCATTCATCTCACCTTGAGCCATACACAGCCTTGTCCTCCACTTCTTTGCAGAGGACACGGCAGAAGCATGAAAAAAAAAAGGCAGCAGACAGTACTAAATGGGAACCATAAACTCAGGGGAACCCACATGTTGGAGTCTCATGGAAAGGTATAGGAGGCTTGAGTCCCTGTGGGCTCTGGAGCTGGCCTTCATTGGCTAAATATCTGTTTAAATTACACTTTAATTTTATTTAAAGTTGTTGCCTAATTTTAGGATTCTCTAGGTTGTCACTGTGTGTATTGGTGCAAGGCACCTCCGTCTCTAAGAGACAAGTACCATTTAGCATGTCTTTGGCCCTATGCTCAGGCTGCCCGCCCAGGGAAACCTGATGCCCACTCAGATGGACGGAGCCCTGCAGCCTCCAGAGTGGAGATCAAATCAAATTAGGGCAAGTTGGTGGGGAGGAGAGAACCAGCTAACTGGGTTTTATTCCAGGAAGTGAAGCCAGAGAAGACCCAGAGGGGAGGGGAGCTGTGCAGCAAGGCCACCCGCAGTAGGACCCAGGGTTGGCTGTGCCAGCCTTTAGGCTGGAGCACTTGAGGGGGCAAAGGGCTTGGAGATGGGAACCCAAGCCTGGGCCTGGCTCCTGAGCATCAGTCAGGGACCGAACTGGAAAAGCCAGTTTCTCTGGAATTAGAGCTGGGGCCCTATGGGGCTGAGCATGCGCTAGCCCTACACTACCTGCAAACATCTTGACTCAAGTTTTGGGGACTGAGTGCCTCAATGCCTGCCCTTGGCCACTGTTGCTCTACAGCCTAGTTTTCTGATCTGAGAGGTGAGTGTGACCCGCTTACAGTCACCCGTGTGGTCTCTATGCAGTTCAGCACAGCCCAGATAGGCTCCCTCTCCACAGAGCCAAGTTCTAGGCTCCCTAGGCAGGGCCCACAGCACCTGACTGGCTTCCGAGGATGGTAACCAGATTACCCAAGGCCTTGATGCAGTTAGTGCCTCTCTTTGTGGTGCCTTGCCTCGTCTGCCCCACCCTTTGGGACGAGGACAGGCACCTTGGTCTTCATTTTTCTCCCTGAGAGTCACACACCATCCTTTTCCCATGTTTTGGCAGGAGGCAGCAGGGATGTGGGATCTGGGGTGACTCTCCAGGGAATTAGCAAGTGAGGGACCCAGGTGCACTTGGTCATGTCCTTGTCCCCTGAGTGCCCCTGGCCTGGCTGGGCATTGAGGCAGGCAGACATGTGCTCCATACCCAGGCTGGTTAGAGGGGAGTGAGCCCAGCTCCAGCCAGGCAGGGATGGGCATTGTATGCTATACTCATGGGCTCAGGGGCTTCTCTGAAGGAAGTAGTCCAGAAGGTTCTGGTTATAGTTTTATTGGACTCAGCATGTCATGACTTCTAAGGGAAGGGTCCAACAGAGCTCAAGGTTACAAAGGCCAAGGTGGGGGTTAAAGGCAGCTTCCCCAAGGCCCCAAGAGTGGTACAGAGAGAGGTGATGGAGTGGAAATGCCTCTCCCTACAGATCCCTGGAGACTGGGGGATTGGAGGCCCAGCAGGGAGAGGAGGGCAACCTTTGGTTCTCAGTCTCATGGAGATAGATGTTTGGCCCAGGTCCACCGTGTAGAGTCCCCAGTGTGGGCCAGGGTTTACAGTGCGGCATGACGAGGACAGGAGGCTCAAAGTTGGGCTAAACCTTTGGGGTCTGTGGGTGTAGAGTCCTGTTGGAGAGGCTCAAAGGCAGGAAGGCTTTGTCTTGTACTCTGTCCAAGAGTGTCTGCCATCTGCTCAGGTGGGGCAGAGACAAGGCAAGGCAGGGGGCCCAGGACAGCTGGGCCTAGCTCTGCCCCTTGTCCCAACTGTGGCCCTCCTGGGTGAGGGGAACTGGGTGGCTGGTCCACAGTGCAGTGACCAGGTGGGGGAGGACCCTGGCCCAAAACAAGGGCAAGGGTCATGGGCCAGCTACCTGAGGGGCGCCTCGGCGTACACACCTTGTCGAATTTCTTATGGCTGTAGACCTTGTTTTTGTTCATGAATGTTAGCAAGATCCAGTCACACAAGAAGGATCCCTGAGGCCAGCAGAGATGGTGCATAAGGGCGTGGCAGGCTCCCCCACCCGCATCGGGACCCAGAGTGGGCAGCTTACCACCCCTATGGAGGTCAGAGCCGTGGCCAGATTGATGATAGTGGGAATCAGGCTGAACTTCCCGGCCTGGGGAGAACAGCCTTGTCTAGATAGGGCCAAGTAGGCAGCATGGGGGGGCAAGGGGGGGGCCATGGATATGACTCAAAGTAGGGTGGGGCTAAGCCATCTCAGTCGTGGCTAGAGCTCCCACTCTGTGAGCTATGCTCACCTGTCCATGCACAATTACATCAATGCGGATCCCATAGGCTTTGATGAGGGTGCGGGTGGTGGTGCCATTTATCTTGTAATACTTGGCAAACCTAAAATGAGTGACGCAGAAGCTAACTCCAGGTTGCCTAACCTATGGAGCTCAGTTTGAGGTGCCTGCTTACAGGGCCTCTGGAGACCCACCTTGTCCCTTCTAGGAAGCCAACACAGCAGGGAGGTAGCAGTGTCCCCAGGACAAGGTACCTGAAGTTATAGCCTGATGAGGCAGGTACATGCTTGGGGTCGAGCCTCCGGAAGGAGTACTTGGGGTTGCATGCAGCTGCATCCAGGTCCAGGTCACAGTCCCAGTTAATGATGACACCTATGACGCCACCCTGCCAGACAGCAAGCAAGAGGGGATCAGGGAAGGCCCACAAGAGTGAGGGCTAGTGAAGACACCAACAGCCGCCATGGGACCAGTTACCAATACTTTAGCAGGTGCACACACACAAGTCTCACAGATTGTGTTTGTCTCCTCCGGCCAAGACCTCAAAGGGACATATGGGTTGTGACAGAGTCTCCTCCTGTGCAGGCAGAACAGCCTGCATACCCTCACCTTATATGCGAGCTCTGTGAAGTTCTCCCCAGCCTGCTCCACAATGAAGCCCAGCCTGAAGATAGGGCAGTAGGGGTCTGAGACCTCATGGAATGAGCAGTGCTTCAGGTACTCATCCTTCCGGTCTGCGATGTTGCCCCTGGGAAGGGGTAGAGGGCAGAGCCTGGCACCCCAGCTACTCCCCAAACCCCACATAGGTATCAGAGCCATATGTAGCTGGCTCTTACTTGGAGAAGCGGAATTTCGGGTAGTGGATGCTGTTCTTGATGAGGATAGTGAAATTTGGGGCCATCTTACCCAGGAATTGGCTGAAGAGACATAGGCAGAGGTCATTTAGTTCCCTCCCCAGAAGCCCCCACCCAGCAGGGCCTCTACCTTTCCCTGGCTCTACAGTCACCACCCCCAGCACAGCTGGTCTTGGCTGGGTGCTCCTACCTGACAGAGGTGCCATCTTCCACTGGGCACCAGCCAGATACCTCACAGGTCTTGGAGGCTCCCTGGTAGTAGGGCACACAATGCCCAGTCTGTAGCCCTGTCAAGCAGACAAAGCTAAAGTGATGATGGGGGCACCCTCCAGGGCACACTGACCATTCTCCAGCCCCTACCACACACTGACTAGTCCCTGGCCCCCCAGGCACAGACTGTTCCTCAGGCCCCCCAGGGCACACTGACCATTCCCTAACATGTCCAGTTTCCCAGCCATGCAGTCGTCATCTGAGTGGCAGGTGGCGTTGGGGACCCTCGTGCTCTAGGGTGGAGATGTCAGTCAAGGGCCTTGCAGGGACAGGGACAGCCCAGCCTCCCCCCAACCCCCATTGGACCTGGTCTCACCTCTGGGCAGGTTCCTAAGGCCTGGGAAGGGGTGACCTCAATCCTGGTAATGATGCTGAACACGCTACCCCCCTGGGCACAGAGAGAGGGACTGGTTAGTCACAGCTCCTACCCATTTTCCCTGGAATGCAGTGGGGCAGGTTGGGCCCCACCTCAGGGGGCTTCACGAACTCCTCCACATCCCACACTTTGTCCTCCGACGTGGTGACCCCCTTGACTTTGGTGATGACGGAGCTCTCCGGGCCGGTCTCGTTGTCCTGGTAGCTCTTTTGCACGATGAACACATACCTGGGGGAGGGGGCGGCGCGGGCTCCGGAGGTGACCCGGGAAGGTAGGAGCCAGGACCGACGCCCTTCCCGCTTTCCCTCCGCCTCCTGGGACCCCAACCCGCGCCCTGCACCCCCGGATTTCGTGCCTGGCCCCGCGCCCCTGGATCCTTCCCCCGCGCCCCCAGCCCCGCGCACCACACGAAGTAGAGCAGGATGAGCAGCTGCACCGCGCGGTACAGGACGCCCAGGCGCCGGTTCCTCACCACTATCACCTTGGGCGTCTCGTAGTCCCAGAAGGCGGACCAGCAGCTCCGGGCCAGGCGCTGAGCCGCGGCCGCCCCCAGGAGGGGCTTGGGTTGGGCAGCGGCCATGGTGCACCCGCGGTGGCCCAGCTGCGGCCCCGCCTCCCAAGAAGCGGCTTGCGAAGGGCGGGTTAGGGGCGCCAAGAGGTAACAGAGTGGGGGTGGAAAGTCCTCTGGGCGTGGTCTTGCGCCCGCCGCGCCCCTCCAGGCTGGTCCAAGTCTCTCAGCTCCCGCAGGCAGCAACCCAGAAGATGTCCCTAGGGGGCTGGGCACCACAGGGCAGGGCCAAGCGGCCCGCAGCTCTGGGGGCGGTGGAGCCCAATGAGGAGCCCAGAGTTGGAGAAAGGAGATCCCAGGTGGAAACTTTCCCAAGAAGAAGGAAACCCAGAGCCCGGCTAATCTTTTGGCCACTGGCTGCAGCCAAAGCGAAAACTGGGTCCTCCCTGTGGCTCCCCTGGGCTCAGGACAAAGTCTGGTCCCCTGTGCTCTGGTCCCCTGTCCCCTGATCCCCACCCGCACCCCTCACCCTGTGTCACTTGGGGGGAGGGTGCGAGGAGGGAAGGAGGGAGGATTGGTTGAGTTCAGGAGTTGGAGACCAGCCTGAGGAAGAGCCAGAGGGCATCTCTATTAAAAATAGGAAAACTAGCCTGGTGTTGTACCTGGTGCCTGTAGTCCCAGCCACTGGTTAGCGTGAGGCAGGAGGATTACTTGGACCCAGCAGTTGGAGATTGCTGTGAGCTAGGCTGAGGCCACAGCACTCTAGGGTGGGCAACAGAGTGAGATTCTGTCTCAAAAAAAAAAAAGACACAATGTACAATTTATCTTGTACAAACATATTTTGAAATATGTATATATCTAGCTAATTAATAAATGCGTTCCCTCACATGTTTGTTTTTGTGGTGAAAACACTTAACATCCAGACTGCCTGAACCTTGCACTGCTTGACTCCCGTAGTGGTGACTTTCTCCGAGGCTCCTGCACCTCGGTCTCTCAGAGTCTCACCCTGACTCCACAGCATGGTCTCCCTTCCCTGCACCCTCTTAAAGGTCCTGCATGCTCATCTGCAGCCAGCCGTCTAGGCCGCGCATCTCACCAGGTTGAAATTATCTTCCAGACACAGGGAGAGGACATGAAACATCATTAACTAACTTGACTTCTCAAAATGTGAATTCTAGACGGAGCCCAAACAAGTCCTGGTGCCAAAGTGGCGTCAGTCTGACCCAAAGGAGAGGACTGTGAAATTAAATCTGGCCTGAAGCTGCCTTAGTGCTGAACTGCAACCTCGGTACTTAAACAAACTGAAGGCCTAATTTCAGAGTGTATTTTAGAAACAAATAGCTGGGTCTCAGCCAATCACAGGCTGATTTGTTGTTTGAGATGTTTTCTGACTGTGTTGTTAGGAATATGCATCGGATGACAAGGAAGTTTGGGTCTGTGTTATGAGAAAATAGAACCAAATCGTATCTCAAATTCAGTGAGGACCCTGTGTTCCATTAATTTCAGGAAACTGCAAATGTTTATAATAAATTTTCAATAAGGTGTCTCAAAGCCTCCATGGAGGAAAATTAAGAAATCAAATGTGGTGGTGCCTATGGCACCAAGGGGTAGGGCACCAGCCCCATATACCAGAGATAATGGGTTCAAACCCAGAACCAGCCAAAAACTGAAAGAAAAAAAAAAATCAAATGAAAACTCCTGATGCAAAAAGGAGCAAATGAGTGAGGTCCTTACATACAAATTTTGTAATGACAGCTATGGTGTAAATTAATATCTGTAATTTGCATAAATACGTTTAAATAGGTTACAGATATTAGTCTTCAGAAGACTAAGTCTTGGGCAGTGCCTGTGGCTCAAAGGAGTAGGGCACTGGCCCCATATGCCAGAGGTGGCGGGTTCAAACCCAGCCCTGGCCAAAAACTGCAAAACAAAAACAAAAACTCACCATAAAATAAATAAATAAAGTTTAAAAAAAAAAAAGAAGACTAAGTCTCCTAATTGTTTTCTAAGTGGAAAAGTCACTTTCCACATGAAAAAAAAATTCAGTCATTCTATTGAATTCTAAAACCTTTGGTTAAATAGAAATATTCTCTGGCAAGAACAGAAAAAAATTCTCTATATAACCCCTTAAAAATAATCCACTTATAAGTAAAAGTTTAGATTTATTTTCAAAATATCGATAGCTTTATTCACACCCCATACAATTCACCGATTTAGAGTGCACCTAATGGCTTTGAGTAAATTCAGTATCATGAATATACTGATGGCCATAGTTGATTTCAGTACCTTCTCTTCACCCCTGAGAGAAACCTTGCACACTTCCCACCCCTAATCCTCAGCGCCAGACAACCACCTTCCCCTCTTCCCTCACTATTTTAGAGCCAGGAGCTCCAAGGCTCATCCTTGGAGAGGCAGCAGCTTCCTTCCAGGACAGGCCCTCCAGGTCCCCATTGGTGCCACCACTAGCCCTGCTCCCCTTGCTTCCAAACTGGACCAAGAGTGTCTTGTGAACTAGTTCCACAGCCTTTCCTCCCTGGGGCCCACCATGATGCCCGACACACAGTCATGGATAAGTAACTAGTAAACAGTGGGCAATAAGCACACATATGCAGAAATATAGTCTTTTTTTTTTTTTTTTTTGACAGAATCTAACTCTGTTGCCCTGGCTAGAGTGCTGTGGCATCATAACTCACAGCAACCTCAAACTCTTGGACTCAAGCAGTTCTCTTACCTCAGCCTCCCCAGTAGCTGGGACTACAAGAACCTGCCACAATGCTAGTCTTTTCTATTTTTAGTAGAGATGAGATCCCACTCTTGCTCAGGCTAGTCTTGAACTCCTGAGCTCAGGCAATCCACCTGCCTTGTCCTCCCAAAGTGCTAGGATTATAAGTGTGAGCCACTATGCCTGGCCCAACATATGCAAAATAAACACAGACACCAGCCAAGGCCAGCTGTAGCCCCATGTGAGTAGTGAGAGAACCTGAGCTTTCTCTGGCCAGTCCTGGGTAGAGGTGGCCAGCCAAGCCTGACTGCAGCTGAATGCTGCAGAGGCCGTGGGTGGTTCCCAGCCTCCTATAGGTCAGGGTCCTGCCACATGCAGCCTGGCCACAGTTCACATACACATTCAAGTGTGGGAGTGAAAGCCTTTTTCTCAGTGCTGCAGTAGGAGCAGGAAGGAGGGAAGAGGAGGCTGCTCTGCTTTGGGCGCCTTCTCTGGAAGCCACAGCTGCACAGAGGAGCAGGTAGGACACAGACAGAAAGGTGGACCTGAGCATTCAAGCAGCTCTCTTCTTCCAGGAGTTTTGCAGCAAGGGAAATCTAGTCTCTTGAGTGACTTGGGTGCTTTTTTAAGTATCCAGGAAGCGTGCATGGCCATGAGCCAGGGTGGCTACAGACTCAGTGGGGCCTTGCCTACCTCTGGGTGAGGTGCACCTTTAGACAGGTCTCAGTCCTCCGAGTGACTGTGAAGGTTGGAGGAGGCAGGGCAGGGTACACAGTGCCAGAGAAGTGGCAGCAGAGGTCTGAGAATGAGCACCCTGGCACTCATAGTGTCTGGAGAAATGACGCATTAGGGGCTGACTTACTGGGCAGAGATGCTGTGAAATCAAACTTGATGTTGATGTTTGGAAAGAAAACTGAGTGTCTAATCTGAGAGATTTATAAACAGCTGTCCAGGAGCAGAGAATGTGTGTAAGAGGGATATTTCAAAATAATGACGGGCTGTGAATGCTGCTCTTCAAGTTCTGAAACACCAGGGCACTTGTGAGATTCACTTGTAGCCTTCATTTTTATTGTGGTAAAAATATACTTAACATAAAATTGTTCACTTTGGCTCAGCGCCTATAGCTCAACCGGCTAAGGCGCCAGCCACGTACACCTAAGGTGGCGGGTTCGAATACCCAGCCCGGACCTGCCAAACAACAATGATGGCTGCAACCAAAAAAAAATAGCTGGGCGTTGTGGCGGGCGCCTGTGGTCCCAGCTACTTGGGAGGCGGAGGCAGGAGAATCGCTTGAGCCCAGGAGTTGGAGGTTGCTGTGAGCTGTAATGCCATGGCACTCTGCCCAGGGGGACAGCTTGAGGCTCTGTCTCAAAAAAAAAAAAAAAAATTGTTCACTTTTATCATTTTTAAGAGCACAGTTCAGCATGTCAAGTGGTTTGACGTTGCTGTGCGACCACCACCCCTCCATCTCTCACACCCTCTCATCTTCCCAAAGGAGTCTCTGTCCCTACTACACAATTCCTCCTGTCCCCTCCAACCCCACACCCTCTCCTCACCTTCCATTGTGGAGCTGGACAGCTGTGGAACCTCACATGAAGGGATTCCTGCAGTGTTTGTGCCTGGCCAGTCTCAGGGCCTCCCTCCTGTGTTCGGTGGGTAACACTACTTTGCGTGTGTGTCATTTGTATGCCTCCTTCATCCACGGCTTGGCTGCTGTGAATGCTGGCTACCTGTGACCATTCATAAACTGGGATTTCTTAGCATGGGGAGCAGTGTGGCCCTGTGTTGCCAGAGCTATTTGATCTATCAGGCACATCGTACCCGTCTTGGAAACTGGGCTGTGAACTTATCTAAGGCCCACAAAAAGGTTTGAGACCAGAAAAAAATTTATCTTGGGCAATGTTTACTCTGGTGGTTGCTGTCACTTGGCTCCAGGACAGTGGCTGAGGGGCACCTGAGACTCCCAATATACTCAAAAGAAGTAATAAAAAGCTCCCACTGTCCTTCCCATCATCCCTCAAGTTCCTGCCCTCATAGTACTCACACACATGCAGGAAAACAAAGGAGGAAGGGAGGGCACCCAGCCTGGGGGCAGATTTGGGCAAGGCAGATGGTGACACCCACACAGCCAAGGACAAGCTGTGAATATTTGTCCAGCCATGGCCTGGGAGTCCACCCTGTTCCTGCACTTGGCAGGCTCAAGGCAGGTGAGGGGGGTACTCTCAAGTGCACAGAGCAGAGGCTGTCAGGGAGTAGGGGTCAGCTAGAGTGGGTGTTTCATGTATCAGGGGCATGAGTGGCTGTCTCTGACTGGTCCTGAGTTGGAAAAGGGGCAAAATTAGAGGATCGGTATCTCAAGTCCCTGAGCAAGTCCTGACCATGTGGTGCTGATAGATGTGGGTCATGGTTTGGCTTCCTTAGAAGGTAGCTGCAGGCTATGATTAGACCTCTATTTTTTATGTAGTCATCCGGATGGTGTTTGCATGTTCATTCTCTCAGGTATGTCTCACGGTCCACCATGAAGATACTTGGTGACTTTCTGTTAAAAGAACAATCTTAGACAAGTTTAACAGAGTTTATTTGAGCAAAGAATAACTCATTAACTGGGCAACACTCAGAGCTGGACGAGGTTCAGAGAGCTCCATCCAGTGGCCTGAGCAGAGAAATTTTATCAGATGAACACAAAAGCAGGCCGGGCACAGTGGCTGGGGCCTGTAATCCCAGCACTCTGGGAGACCAAAGTGATAGGATACCTTGGGCTCAGGAGTTTGAGACCAGCCTGAGCAAAAGCAAGATCTCATCTCTACTAAAAATAAAAAATTAGCTGGGCATCCTGGGACACCTGTAGTCCCAGCTACTCAGGAGGCTGAAGCAGGAGGATTGCTTGAGCCCAAGAGTTTCAGGTTGCTGTGAGCTGGGCTGATGCCACAGCACTCTAGCCTGGGGCAACAGAGTGAGATTCTGTCAAGAAAGAAAAGAAGAGGGCAGTGTCTGTGGCTCAAGGAATAGGGCGCCAGCCCCATATACCAGAGTTGGCAGGTTCAAACCCAGCCCCAGCCAAAAACTACCAAAGAAAAAAAGGGGGGGTGCCTATGGCTCAGTGGGTAGGGCGTGGGCCCCATATACTGAGGGTGGCGGGTTCAAACCTGGCCTCGGCCAAGCTGCAATAATAAAATAGCCCAGCATTGTGGCGGGTGCCTGTAATCCCAGCTACTAGGGAGGCTGAGGTAAGAGAATCACCTAAGCCCAGGAGTTGGAGGTTGCTATGAGCCGCGACGCCACAGCACTCTACCAAGGGCAACATAAAGAGACTCTGTCTCTAAAAAAAAAATTTAATTAAAGTAAATAAATAAATAAAAAGCAAGGGAGGGAGGGAGGGAGGAAGGGGAAAGAAAAGTAAAAAAAGAAAACAAACACAAAGGAGAGAAATCATCTGATTGGCTGCAGCTCCTTGGGTGTTTGGAACTGGCTGAGGCTTGGGGGTTTTTTTGATGTTCTCGATTGTTTTGAAGTCAGAAAAAATGCCTCCAAGGGACTTTAAGCACTTAGGATCCAGAGACAGCCACAGGCCCACCGCACTCTCTTTCTCTCTACTTGTGATGATGAACACCAAGAACCATTTGCAATGGTGGGACAGGAACCTGATTTGGGAACTTGGGGTCTGGGAAGTGTGGAGAAGGAGCAGCCAGAGTGGACGGCATATGCAGCCACCATGGACACCTATAGCCCCAACCTGTCCCCTGTACCACTCGCACCCTTCCTGTCCTTGGGGAAGAGCGTCACACCCACAGCACTTGAGGTCCACCCAAATGGCCAGGTATTGTTTTTCTCATTATAATGAATGGTATCTTGTTTTCTATTTTCTAGTTATTTATGGCTGATATGGAGAAATAGTTTTAAATTTTAAGTTGATCTTGATCAGGCAATTTCCTGAACTCTTACAATAGTTTGTAAAGTCAATTGGAGTCTCCCAAACAGTTTTTGTTTTTTTTTTTGAGACAGAGTTTCACTTATTAACCCTCGGTAGAGTAGAATGCAGTGAAGTCACAGCTCACAGCAACCTCCAACTCCTTGGGCCTAGGCGATTCTCTTGCCTCAGCCTCCCGAGTACCTGGGACTACAGGCACCCACTACAACGCCCGGCTATTTTTTTATTGCAGCTTGGCGGGGGCTGGATTTGAACCCACCTCCCTCCGTATATGGGGCTGGTGCCCTACTCCCTGAGCCACGGGCACCGCCCCCAAACAATTTTATAACCTGGGAGGAAGACAGATTCTCCCAAAAACCTCCTCCCCTCCAAGTTCTGTCTGGAAAACTCCACAGATTTTCTACAGCCTGACTCTGTGCCCATGGCCAGTCACTGTGGCCAGAAGGGGATGCTGAACCAGGACAGCAGCCACCAATCAGTGGATACCTGTCAAGTGTCAGCCTCGCACCAAGCAGTGCCACAGAGCCAGCCAGGGTGCCATGAGGGGGACACACAAAATTAGGCCCTGGGTGCTTGATAGTGACTCTTTCATGTGGCCTGAAGGCCTCTCTGGGTGATGTCAAGAGGCAGGGTCTGAGGGAGCCCATGTATGAAGGTTGGTGCAGTCTGGCCTGTAGGTGTCCACTCAGCGCTGACACTGTTTAAATGAATAAAATGAATAAAGGGCACAACTGGCTCAGTGCCAGTTGCTCAGTGGTTAGGGTGACGGCCACATACACTGGGGCTGGTGGATTTGAACCCAGTCCGGGCCTGCTAAACAACAATGTCTACAAGAACAAAAAAATAGCTGAGTGTTGTAGTGAGTGCCTGTAGTCCCAGCTACTTGGGAGGTTGATGCAAGAGAATCGCTTAAGCCCGAAAGTCCGAGGTTGCTGTGTGCTGTGTCACCACAGTACTCTACCCAGGGTGACTGCTTGAGACTCTGTCTCAAATAAATAAATAGGGCACAATTATTTGCTGAGAAACAGGGCTATTTAAAATCCATTTTCTGGCTCAGTGCCTGTGGCTCAAGTGGCTAAGGCGCCAGCCACATACACCTAAGGTGGTGGGTTCGAATGCAGCCCTGGCCCTCCAAATAGCAATGATAGGTGCAACCAAAAAATAGCCGGGCGTTGTGACAGGTGCCTGTAGTCCCAGCTACCTGGGAAGCTGAGGCAAGAGACTCTCTTGAGCCCAGAAGTTGGAGGTTGCTGTGAGCTGTGATGCCACGGCACTCTACCCAGGGGGATAGCTTGAGGCTCTGTCTCAAAAAATAAATAAATAAATAAATAAAATCCATTTTCCATCAAGCCATGAAAAGACATGAAGGAATCTTAAATGCCTGTCACTGACAGAAGCCAGGTGGGAAAGGCTGCACCTGCGGCTCTTGTACATTCTGGGAAAGGCAACACTCTGGCAGAAGTGGGAAGATGGGAAGTGTCAGGGATGGGAGGGGGGAGAGGGGGGCAGAAGGCACACAGGGGCAATGTAGGCAATGAAATTCTCTGTTGGGTGTGTTTTTCCAGACCCACAAGGCATGGCATCAGGAGTAAACTGGTGTGAGTGGAGGGTCTTGGACATGTCAATGCTGGCTTCTCAGTGGCAGCAATGTACTGAGCCCATGGCATGTTAATGAAGTGGAAGCTGAGGCAGGCAGAGCCTATGGAACTCTGCCTTCTGCACTGTTTTTCTGTAGAACTAAAAATGCTCTGTAAATAAATTGCATTTTTTTTCTTTAATTGATTTTTTAAGAGGAAGAAGCAGGAAGGAGTGGGAAGAGAGTGGGTGCTGGTGCCTGGTGCTCAGAGGCCAAGAGTCCAATGGCTGGCTCAGCATGGATGCTGCTGCTGCTACTGCTGCTCCTGCTGGGGTCCTCTGGAGGGAAGAGGAACATGGCCCACAAGGTGAGTGCTAGGCCCTCCTGCTGATGCTGCAATGAGTTGGGCATGCACTCAGCCTCAAGGCCCCCTTTCCTCACCAGCCCTGCAGCAAGTCCTCCCTGAGGCCTCAGCCTCTCTAGGCAATCCTAGTGTTAACCTTCAGTTAGTAAGCTTTTTATAAAAGAAAACAAAACAAAAATCTCCCTGGACAAAAACCTTTCCACAAATCTCCATTGTCCAGACTCTTTCAGGCCTTTTGGGGGTTCCTACAGCCATACTCACTTTCCCACTGATGCACAGAGAGGCAACATCTGCAACGTGTACACTAAACGTAACTTAACCTCAACAGAAGCAGCTTGAACCCTGCGGGGCTGGCTGGCAATCAAGCTGCTCTGCACTTTTATTATGGGTTTTTCACTGTTGTTTGTTTTTTGAGACAGAGTCTCACTCTGTCCCTTGGGGTTGAGTGCCATGGCATCATCATAACTCACAGCTACCTCAAACTTTTGGATTCAAGTGATCCTTTTGCCTTAGCCTCCTGAGTAGCTGGGACTACAGGTGTCTGCCCAGCTAATTTTTCTATTTTTAGTAGAGATGGGGTCTCATCTAAGCTCCTAAGCTCCTAACTCCTAAGCTCAAGCAATCTACCTGTTTCAGCCTCCCAGAGTGCTAGGACTATAGGTGTGAGCCACTGCACCCAACTAATCTTTTCTTTTTTTTTTTTTTTTTAAGAGACAAGAGTCTCACTTTGTCACCCTTGGTAGAGTGCCATGGCATCACAGCTCCCAGCAATCTCCAGCTGTTAGGCTTAGGCGATTCTCTTGCCTCAGCCTCCCAAGTAGCTGGGACTACAGGCACTCCTGACAACGCCCAGCTAGTTTTTGGTTGCAGTTTGGCCAGGGCTGGGTTTGAAACCCACCACCTTTGGTATATGGGGCCAGTGTCCTACTCACTGAGCCACAGGCGCTGCCCCCCAACTAGTCTTTTCTGTTTAGTAGAGATGGGTTGTAATTTTTCATAAAAATGTATTTGCATTAACATGCAATGGATTTATTATTGCTTATTATTATTATTTTTTTAGAGACAAAGTCTCACTTTATTGCCCTTGGTAGAGTACTATGCCATCACAGCTCACAGCAAGCTCCAAATCCTGGGCTTAGGCAATTCTTCTTTTTTTTTTTTTTTTTGAGACGGAGCTTCAAGCT